ACAAAGGACTTTTAAAATTACATTAAGGATGTATATTTGCATTCTTAATGTCAGTTATCACCAATTTAATGTATTTTTTCTCGTTGCAACTATTACAGTGGTATATTGTTTTTCAGGAAAGTACGCAATTAATTTTGAAGTGTGACAGCCGTATAAAGCAAGCGTAGTAGACGTAAATACTGATTCATTCATAAAACGCAATCTCGTTCCTCAGATAAACATACTCGCATAAACAATTCCCACTCAAATTAGCAGCTATATCCTTCTTTCTAATGCGGCAGCAGATGCGACATCTCTGTCCGCGTAATAATAAATACAATCTGAATGATTGCAATAAAAAAGGGCTTAATTGCGAATGAATGGATTAGTCTAGTAGTTTTTCGTCATTGGATTTGACACATCTGTAATAAACAATAAAAAATTGTTCGTTAGTATTTATACAGTTTTATTGTTGGTCTAAAATTTATTACTTGCGAATCTCATGTAAGGTGTTCTGTTTTCCAGTTGCATATTAATGTTCGATTTGTTTTAATGGTACTTAAGTATTTTTAGATTTTTAGTTTTTTTTTTATTTAACATGTGTTAAAAGAGATGGAAATACTTTCTTATAATAAGTTACTGACACCGTGTATTATTTCTTAAATAGTAAAGGAGACCTGAAGAGCATTAACGGCTAAAGGAGACCTGGAGAGCATAACACGAGGCTAACAGGACAACAGGAGATACAGCGTCCCTAGTCTGTCCCGAAACGACCCGGCGACACTAAGTGAGTGTCATCTCCAGTCATCATCCCCCGATCGGCTACACGAAAGCTAAGTGTCATCATTTCTTTTACTAGTGTCTGTCATTTTGGAAACTAAGTGGTAAAATGTTAAACAAGTCAAATAATTAAATATACACACTTTAAAATTTTATTGTTTTATTCCCTTATTCTCAGCTGGCAAGCTAATGACAAAATTTGTATTTATTTTATTAATTTATACATGGCGTCCATGGGTATCAATTCAACTTTTTTTCGTCTTTTTAAATAAAGATAGTGCTATTAACTTGCTGGGTAAATTCTAAGCCGAATCTCACCGACCCATAAATTTAATACTTATATCAGTATCCGAGCTAGGCCGAAGGGTTGTAAGATTTCTTGTTTTTTACAACTGGTAACATGAAGGGTAATAGATTTGTATTGCCATATAACTTGGCAATTTTTCCACTTTCGGGTCCTCATCAAACCGGATTAAACAATATGTGAGTTTTGTAAAATTTTTACTTCCATCTATATAAGAGGGAAGTATTGTAATCGTGAAAAAGTCATCCTCCGAGATTATTTCAAATTCTCACGTTTCAGGATTTCTAGATTACGAAAAACATGTTTACCATTCCGTTGGTCTGTCCATTTCCGTATGTCTGTCTGTTGGCGCGATAGTTCAAAAACGGCTTTAAATTTTGTATATATGGGTCAGTTATATACAGTGTGGGCAGTTTTAAAATAATAATTTAAATTTAAAATTTGGCATATTTCGACTAAAATTGATATCTGAGTATTTTAGAAGTCAAAGATAACAGATCCTAAATAAGTTTTTAAAAATTCAAAATGACCTTGAAATGAATCGTATTTAATAAAACAAGGTCCTCCTTAAATCGAAATAATAAAAAGCGACCTTTTTGTTTGTGTAACTAGACCACTTTAAAAGCAGCCAATCATTATCATTCAATAACGGTGAAAATGGGTTTTCTCGACCTTCCTCTTGATTCGAGCCGAACTTCGCGTCAGCTCGGTGTTCTTCGTCACGTTCGTAAAGTGTAAGTATTTAGGAGTTCGCATTTTTTTTAGACCGACTAGAAAATATACACTTATTGAACAATTTTTCGTCCAGAAAATAACGTTTTGCCGATCAAGACCGGAAAGTAGACGTTAGAGATCGGTAAAAGCTTTTTCGTACGACCACTTAGGAAAGTGACACATATCACACTATATAGTCCTATGGAAAGTGCTCTATATCACACGCGTATAAATAAGAATTTACTTTCCACCCGCGTACGAATATGCTACTTTCCGCAGTAGCTGTCAGAAAATGTCAAACACATAATTTCTATTTTGATCTATGTAATGTCCATATTAATACTAAAATCGATATGATTGTTATATTATTGAAATTGTTGTAAATTAGATCCTAGATATTTATCTTTAACAATTATTATTAAAATAATTTTAAAATAACTAAGATATATTTGCTTTTTATTCTGGTAAACACATAAGCGATTAGATCAATCAATTACCATAAGGCTCAGTTGGTTAGAGCGTCAACTTTGCAATTTGAGACCTTCGAGCGACCGCGTTCAAATCCTGGCCGTGCCAGAATTTTTTTTTGTTTTTTAATTTTTTTTTATTTGTATAGAAATTATGAAAATTGAATAAATACGATTATTGTTGATTATTTTTTTAAATACATTTTAATTATTATAATAATCTGGTTTTACATTTTTTGATGAAATTATTTTGTGGTCGTAGGAAAAATATTGTACGTCACTTGTGTGAAAAGTGATTTTCCACACTCGTAATGTAATATACTATTACCGGTCCCTGTTTTTTATTTTTCCGATCGCTGTTTGATAATACATTCTGCCTTGATTTCGTTATTATGGTAACAACGTTCCGATTTATTGCCAAGTGACAGTTCGTTGATTTTTAATTTGTTGTTTAGGTCAAATTTGTTTTCGCAAATTTAAAAATATGGATTTAGATTTTAAATTATTTGACATAAAAAATTATTTGGTTAGTTTATGCAGTTGCATCCATTATAAATATTGTACGTCACGCGACCGAAAATTAGTGTTAAGCAGGTCTCTCCAAGCTTCCAGGTCTCGCCTACGGCTCGCCCCGGAATCTGCTTGTCTCAACCTGCAAAACGCTACTTTACGGTCTTGTAACGTTAATTATTATGATTTATGTATTTTTTACATCACGTCGGTCATTCACACTGTTGGGATTTTTTTATGCACCATTTTTTTTTTTTCGATTTATGGCCTAGGTGTATATACCTAATATGCCAGTCTCAAGTTTGTGTTTTTTTTCTTTTTTTTTAATTCTCAATCATGTGTGTTCTGTGTAGGCTTTGTTACTGTTTCCCAGCGCCACTTCAGGAACAGCACTGTTAATTAGAACCCAACAGTGAATGGTCGAGTGGGGAATCCTACCAAGGCATCAGAATTAATTTTAAATAATTAAATTAAATGAAAAAATTCCGGCCAACGGTGGGATTCGATCCTGAGACCTTCCGATCTCAAAGTCATGACTCTAACCACTGAGCCAACCCTCCCCCTTTCGAATTTTGAAGCAAACTCAAAAACGGATAAAGAGAAAAATATAAAATTTTAAACCTTTATTCTGGCCTGTGGTGAACATCTGGGGGGTACTTTATAAGGAGTCATTTTTATATTTTATGGAATATAACTGTTATTTACGTTTAGAGAAGAAAATTCTTTAAATAAAAGTTACTTCTAATATTATTCTCTATAATTTTTGTTTTATACATGATTTCGCTAAAATGGACCGTAATGGAAAAATTTGAGGAAAACTGTAAATTTGAAATTTTTCAGTATATTCGTTGGCAATGAATATATGTAAAAAAATGTTTTGAGTAAGATGTATATTGAACATGTATGTATTTAGTTCATTCTCTAAAAATTTCAGGGGTGATACAATAGGTTGCATAAAATAACCGGAAAAAGCCTGTAATAACTAGATATAGGAAAGTCATGTGTGGGACACATCAGATTTTTTATTTTGCATGCATGTTTTACACAAAAACGAATAAAATAAGTTGAAGAATTTTATTTTTAAAAAACTAAAGAACATCGATTATTTATTAGTCTAAGAGAGACACCTTCCTGTGATATCAACAGTCACACGTCATTTCCTTCTTCTCTGTTGCTCTATCCAATACAATTTAAATAGGGAAAGTAGGTACCTACCAAGTATGACACGTCATTGATATATGAAAAATTCAGCAATATAAATGTCGTGTTCATTTTGATTTTAGCAATCTCTCGTGGGATAAAAATTGTTATAAGTGTAATACCTCATTTCAAAGCCAATTTAATTAGTAATTCAATGAACCACATAATATTATGCCATTAAAATTAAAATTTAACACATTATTAAAATAGTATTTTGTGTAACAAGAGTGGATATGGACAAGTCACTCGAGTTGTACAGTATATTTTTCTACGACCCACTAATGAAAATCTACAAATTTTAAAAATATTTTAGGTTATTAGACAAAATAACTAATTTTAAAATAATTTATGAATTTTACTAATTTATAAAATTAAATAAACATGAAAAAAAAATATTAAATTTAAGTCCCCTGACCAGATTCGAACCTGTGCTTTTCGCGTGGAAGGCAGACCGCCCTCACCTCCACCGCAACTTTTATGATTTTAATACTTAAATTAGTTTCATCTAGTTTGATTTCAATTTAATTTTTTTTTTTAAATGTAGACCAAATAAAAATGCTGTTATTTATCGATTCTGCACAAAAATAACTCATTTTAATGTATATTTAATCTACTAAAAAATATACTGCCAGTTAGTTTGACAGTATTGTTATTTATTTAAACTTTTAAAAATAAGTTGTGTGTCCAAAATATGAACTGTTATTGGTGGATTTCATTTTTTTGCAGTGTTCTCACTACCTAGAATGGGTATGAAATATATTCGTTTAGTTGAACCCAATAGCATACTTTTGTAGTCTGTGTTTAGATAAGAAAAAATATAATTTTTACAATATACAAACTTTGTTACCGGTATGAACAAGAAGAAGTTTGACTGTGTCAGTTTACTATACAAGTGACTTTCATAGTTCCCCTGGATTTAAAAGGAAAATTAACGGCATACCTACATAAAATATTTCGGTTTTTCGCAATATGCAAATATTTTCTTGTGTATTTTATCGCAATGGCATTCTTCAGGCTATTGCCAGAAATGATATAGAATTACTTACCCATCTCCATCCAGCGTTATCTGAGTGTTAGCCAAGACCCTGAGGACTAAACCAACAGTAGTTTTTTCGTTGCAGTCGATGCCCAAAAGGCAGGATTCCTCTCCTCTCGTACCCATTCTTGATACAACTACTAAGTACCTTGTTCTTGCAGAATGAACACTTTCAAGTTTCACGGCCTGAAATAAAACAAAACAGTTTAAAAATACATCCTACCTTACCTAAAAAAATCCTGCATATTAGCGAATTTAATGTGAATAGAGCATATTCAGAAACTATCATGCGCCTAAAGTTAATTCACAGAAAATGTTCAGCTCATCTACAAAATAGGTATCATACAGATGATTGTTCTTTCGATAAAGATTCTACTACTGATTTGTTGAAAGCAGCGTCATCTAACATAGAAATTACTCACCAAAACAATTAAAAAAAAAAAATAAACGTATTAAACGTAAACTGTGATTGGTGGTCAAATAGATTGATACATATTCATTCTGTAGTTTGTGCAAAAAAACAGATAATTTACGAGTACATGTAGGATAGAAAACATTTATTATTCCAATATTTTGTCAGAAAATACTCCACTTCTCGTGCAATTTCAACTAAACTATAAATTTTTAAGTACATTTAAAAAAAAATATGTCCTATGTCAAATTGTAAAAAAAAAACACATCTAGTCGAACGAAAATATTAATAATATCTTGCAGAAAACAGATTTAATATTGAGAACACTTTTTTTTATAAAATTTGAACATGAGAAAGTAGGTAACATCGTTAAATAATTGTTTCTGTAGGCAGTTAGTATTATACTTTGTAACAATCCACTAAAATTAATTATTTTGAGATAAACACACGCAAACTAAATGAAAATAAAATTTAATTTGTAATAAAAATACTTTCAAAATAATTAAAGCTTTAGATAAGAATAATTGGTAGATACAAAAAATTACCTGAAATTTTAAGAAAAAACGACTTCACTAAAGTTTTAAAGCATGGAAATTTTTTTGATATACCTACGGTTGTTAGTTGATGTTTTTTCTAAATGTAAATATTTCGTAACTTTTTGTCGTTTTTGAAATAAATAATTTTCTAAAGCAAATATCCTTTTGCAGTGACTATTCCAGTCATCACTATTTAACATTTTTGCGGATATTTTCCGATGCGAATATCTTTTATTTTTATACTTTAGTTTTTATTAAGATATACATTAATTCATTTGATTATAGCCATTACATACATATAGAGTGAAAAAGGGGTCTCAAATTCATTGGCGTCGTTTGGGGGGGCAAGGGGGGGCAAGGGGGGGGCAATTGCACCCCCCTGACTTTTAAGACTTTACACCGCGTAATGGCTGTATGTCACAATACTAAATTAAGTACTAAAATTTAGCCCTAAATTAAGTTATTAATTTAGTACTAAATTTGGAACTAAAAATATTTTTTTCCTTTTTCAACGGTACTAATAAAAAAACAGAATAAAACCAACAAAATCAAACAGAAGCGAAATTTGTCCAAGGCGATAATGGAAAGTTGTCGCTAACCAAAAACAAAATGGTGCAGAAAATACCGTTGTGTCAACTTTTTCTGAGAAAAACTTCTGCGCAACTTTTCAACGCATTTTTAATACTAAATTTAGTTCCAATTAATTAATTTTTTTTAGTACTAAATTTAATACTAAATTTGCTGTTGGCACCGTGAATTTTTTTATTACTTAAAAAATGCATTAATTTAGTTCTAAAAGTACTTAATTTAGTAGCGTAAACATACAGCCTTAATATATGAATTACTGATATTTCGTTAGGTAGCCCAGGCAGCACACATTAGTATAACAAACGTATTTTATACGTAATACTCGTTTAATTTTGGTATTGGTTAATTCCGTATACGTTTACAGCTTACGATTATTATACATACCGTGTTTTAAACGATATGTTATACGTTTTTTATATACATCCTATGGTATATAATTGTAAATTTTTCTACGTTTAAATATAGTTAACAATATACGACTATTTTTAGTTTGCGATGAACTATTTATATACAGTAGGCCTAAATATACGTTTAGGTTTATTTAAATTAAACTCGTATAAATTTACATTATATTACAATATGTTTTCTTCGTTTATAATTCCCGTTTAAATTTCGTCTTGGTTGTTTTTTTAAACGTTTACCATCTACCATTTTTATACTTAACGTTTTTTAACAGACAAATTAAACGCTTTGTTTGTCGATACTAGTTAATATACCTATATTATTTTACGATTAAATATAAGTCACCTTAAACGCATAATACCAGTTTACGATGAACTAGTAGACAGAAGTAAATAATATGTATATATTTAGGTTTATTTAAATTAAAAGCTTATATATTTATTTATTTACATTACATCCATAATTATATTACCTGTAATATTTATAACAAATTCCCCATACACATGGAACTATTTTTAGATGGCGGATGGAGGATGACGTACTAGTGGTACGGTCTTTTCTCATTTCTACTCATGCGTATGTGTAGTATTATTGTTCAGTGTAGGGAATGGTTTGTGGGAGCAGGTTCATCGGTTCGTCCATTTTCATTTGTGTACACGTTTTGTTGCATGTTTCTTTGGCGTCCTGGCTTTTACAATATTGATTAAAAGCATAGGTAAGTTTCTATTAATGTTTTAATTTAGCTACTCCTTTAATAATTGCATTTTACAACAACTACTGTTTTATAGGTACGTACAGTGTGTTAAATGCCCTTAGAAACTTCAAAACATAACCTTACTTTTGTTTCTTTTATTTTTATACGTATTTTTTAGGTTACCTAATTATTACAAGCGTACTTATTTTCTTTTTTTTGGTCAGTTGTTTTTTATTTAATAAAATGTCTAAAATAACCCTGTCTCTGCGTCATCTACGTAGAAAAATAGCGCAAAATGTTCAAGATGCTTTAAAGTCAAATCAATTTTTTTTTATTCCCAATGAAGATAACATTAATAAGGCTTCGGACATTAATAGATCATCTGATTCTATTATTTATAATAATTTCCAAGAAAATAATACAAATTTAACTTCGGAGCTTTTAGAAAATATTTCACCTGAAATTGAGTTACATTTTGGTTATAGGAATGGGGTGAACCAAGCGACTTAACCGACCGAACGATTAGGTGTGCCATGCAAGATTAGCTTAAGTTAGCTAAGGCACGTCTCTAGGACACAACACATCCAAAGTGTTAAGCTAAGATTTTTATTTTCATATATATTTTTTGTTATTTAAAGAAAAGTTTCGTTTAGTTTGTTATTCAGTATTTTAGTGTTTATTTTTTTGTATTTATTTATTTTTTGGTATTTTATTGCTTATGTTTTTAATTAAATATTGTTCTGTACCTATAACAAGTGATCAAACATTTTTTCTAAATATTTAGACCAATTACAACCAAAATAGAAACACGAGTAATGCCTATTTCTGGTGTATATTGTGACGGTGTTACTTACCTTATATTTTATTCAAATTTGTCACAAAAATGCAATTTATTTAAAACTGTGTTCTATATTTTTTAATAAATTTTATTAATTAGCAATGAGACTCTTAATTATTTAAATTTTGTAACTATTTTCATAATTTAGGTAATCTCAGGGAATATTTTAGTTTAATTGGGTTCATTACTTTTTCAGTGGCCCTCGTATTATGAATTTCAAAGAATGGAATAAATTTATCTTATGGGATTTCAGGGTAGCCAACCAGTCAACAGAAAATATACCAACTAAGAATTAGAATTCAAATAATAACATTTATTTCTGGACTCTATTACAACAAAATCTTAAAATTCTATAATAAAACATTCACTCTACTTCACACACACTTTATGGACAGTGGTAATGACTTAAATAACCCACCTTCTCTGACTAATTTTTTTATTATACGTTGGCAATGCTATTGCCGTTATATTTTCTTGAATATGCTTTGAATTTAAAAAAATGATTTATAGGTTATGTATTTATTATGAACGAGAAAATGTGTCTTTTTAAATCATTAAATGGAATGAGATTAATATTAAAAACAAATAAAATGGTAAGTAATAGTTCATATAAAATTTTGTACCTTTACAACTACATCAGGGTTCATAAATTGTGTTTTACTTGCTTCTTTTTTCTTTTCACAGGGAAAGTGCCAATCAAGCAGATTGAAAATCCAGATGAATCTTAGAAAACCACGTTGTATCCATCCATAACTTGTGAATTCCAGGACAAAAAAGGCAGGAGCCTTTTTATGATACTTCCATTTCCAAAATTTATGATGACTTTTCACTATTGTAAACGATATATGGGTAGAAACTTATTGTACCAATTGCACCAGTAAGTACTTATTACTAATTTTACAACAAATTATAGTTACTAGGTTTTGTATACTTTCTTATTATTTGAATTTTTTAGGATGAAAAAGCAACTACATCTCTTCCATTTTGAAATTCTACCAAGACTCCTTGATTTTCATTTGTTAAATCAACAACTTTTTACATTTTTAATCCCATCTAGAATGTTCAAATTTCTTGTGCCCAATAGAAAGAAACTGGATTTAGTTACTTTTAAAAATAAGTTATTTCTATAAATTAAAGGTGAGTTTATTAAAACTAATTATACTGTAATTTTAAACTAATTTTATATTAAAATTCTATTACTGTTTGAACAAAATCCTGGTTGTCAAATTTAATCAAATTGCATTTTGTTATCTTTTAAAATGAAGTTGGTATTCTGTTTCTTACTAAATTTGTTACTTTGTTACTGTTTCTATATTTGTCACATTGTTTCATGTACTGGGTGATATTATTAATATGTCCAAAAGTAAATAATTTTTTTAATTTACAATAATTTTAAAAGTTTTTTGTTTAATTTTTAAAATACTATCTTAATACACACCTTCTATGGATAAAATCCAAACTATCATTTTAGATATATTAACATTTTTCCATGGCCTCTTTTAGAAATTTTGTTTTGATCACTTTATTTAATTTGTGTTTGAAATACATTTAAAACAATATCAGGTAGACGCATTTTACACATTAATAAAAATCATACAAATATATCTAATATAGTAAAACAGGATAATTAAAGGTAGATAAAGTATTAATGTTAGACGTATAAAAAATAAAAAAAATATACGTTTATAGGGCGGACATTTTCACGTATATATTGGG